TCTTGGGCCCTCCATTCTTGCAGTTCCTCCCTCCACCCACCCAAGTCGTTTGGGAGGGCTTTTTTGGGGATGCCAGGGGGCATCCTTGAGGGGGGATACTGTAGGGATGGCACCATCTTGTGGGCCTTCTCTGTCTGTACTCCCTTGTGTGTCTCTATCCAATTAATTTCACCCTTGTCTCGACCCAGCTGTTTGTAATTATGTCATGTTCTGTCTGTGTATATGTTCTGTCTGTGAGTCTTGTCCTTTGTCGCTTCGTCATTGGGTATTGCCTGTCCTGTCCAGTCTGATCCTGTCCTGACTATTTTGTAAGTTTGCTGCCATGTCAGCCTTTTGATTTATTAATATTAAAGTATTTTATTTTGTACGTCTGCCTCCTGAGTCCTGCCTGCTCAACTGGGTTCCCTCCTGTCCTGACCTACCTGAAACCCTGACACACTTGTGTCTACTTTTATTGTTCAATTTAGATATGTGGGTTTGTTTATTATATTCAATTCAATTCAATTCAAAAAATACTTTATTAATCCCAAAAGGGAAATTATTTGTTGTTCTAACTTGTTATCCTCATTTTATTAAGAGATGTTATAGATACTGATGGCTGTAGGCAGGAAGGATCTCTTGTAAAGGTCCATCCCACAGTGGATCCTAAGAAACTGGCTGCAGATGCCGTCCGATCCGTCCACCCAGACTCGGTTTCCCTGGGCTGTAGGATCGCCTGAATGCCGGGCAGAACTCCTCCTAGAGTGACGGCCACTCCTCCCAAAAGTCTGCTGAGCTCCTCATAGCAGCAGACAGCCAACTTTAGGTGCCAAGGGCCAATCCTGTCCTTCTGCTGTCATGAGCCGTGTTTCCTGCTAATTCCAGGATCCCAGTGGTCAGGCACTCGAGCACAGCTGGCAGGTAGATGAGAATGCGTCCACAGAACATCCTTTTCAACTCATTTGAGATTTGGGGTTGTAGTTGAGATATTACTTGAGCTTTTGAGATGTTAATCAGCTGCTGTTGGTTGTAGAAAACTGCCTTGTTGCCATGGTTACGCATCATAACAAATGTCCAAAACTAAAAACGTTTCAGTAAAAATCCTTCCAGCTGCACAGCATCGGATACCAGAGGAAACAATCATCCAAAAAATGTGATTTACATCCAGAAAAACAGGAATTAAAGTTTCCAAAAGCAAAATTTCAGAATTAATTTAACAGAGCTGCTCCAACATGCAGCCACCTTGAGCAGTGCAATTTACAGATATACAAATTATTTTATTTTAGCTTTGCACTATAGTTTAATTCTTGTTTTGTGATCTGTACATCTGTGGGTTAGAATAAAATTGAACTAAATGCCATAGCTCTTCTTTAAACATGTTTGAGGGAAATATTCCAGAGATCCAATAATTTTGTTTTATGATTTTTTAACTGAGTTAACTTTAACAGATTATTCAAAAAAAGTAATTAAAGTGAAAACAGGATTTCATGATGAAGCCGGCACCGTTTATTTATTATTATTTTTAATCTACACTGATAAAAAACAATAATAATAATAATTTTTGTTATACTTAAAATGTTTTTAAAAATCGTTTCCATCTTCCGTCCCACACCCGTCCAGGTCCGGATGTCTGCTGGAGCTCGGAGTTCAGCCTTCAGGAGCAGTCGAGGCCGCGACTTGGGTGAGCCCAGCCCTCGCACACTTCAACGAGTCACCAGCTCGTATGATCCTCTGCTGTGACCAGCAGAGCTCGGAGAAGGAGTGCGTGAGGCATGTGCTCCTGGGGGTCGGCAGCACGGAGGATCTTTTGCGGTGACCAGTGGAGCTCGGAGCTGGGGAGATGATGCCCTGCATGGATGTACCTGAGGAGGAATTATGGAAACCGTGGAATCCCTCAAGTGATGCGCCCGAGGAGGAACCATGGAATCTGTAGACTCCCTAAATGACGCACATGAGAAGGAACCATGGAAATGGTGGAATCCTTCAAATGATGCACCAGAGGAGGACAAAACATGGAAACTGGAATCCTTCAAATGATGCACCTGAGAAGGAACCATGGAAACTGTGGAATTTTTCAAATGAGGCACCAAAGGAGGAACCATGGGCAATGATGTAATTCTTCAAATGATACACCAGAGGAGGAACCATGGAAACTGGGGACTCCCTAAAATGCTACAGCTGAGGAGGATCCATGGAAATTGTGGAATTCTTCAAATGATGTACCAGAGGAGGAAACAATGCAATTGTGGAATCCCTCCAATGATGCACCTTAGGAGGAACCATGGAAACTGGAATCCCTCAAATAAGGCACCTGAGGAAGAACCATGGAAACTGTGAAATCCCTCAAATAAGGGAACAGAGGAGGAACCATGGGGAATGATGGAATTCTTAAATTATCCACCTGAGGAGGAACCATTAAAACTGTGGAATCCCTCAAATGATGCACTAGAGGAGGAGGAAACATGGAAACTGGGATCCTTCAAATTATTCACCTTAGGAAGTTCCATGGGTAATAATAGAGTCCTTCACATGTCTGCTAGATCCCACACATGTCTGCTAGATCCCATCCCAACCACACTGTTTAAA